GATGAGGACTTTATAAATTGGTATTGGACACATGGGCTAATATCAGACATATGGACTTGATCTGGACTGGACTGGGATGTTTTCTCAATATTCAATTGCTCTTGTATATAAAGCTCTTTCTTATACATATATGAGTGTCTATGAATTTTGTTTCTCTAGTCTACCCAGACTAACACAATGCTCTTAAACAACAAAAAATAAAAAAAACAATGAGAACTGAAAGACATTGACAAAACTAGAAAACGTGCTTAGCAAACTCAGAAAATCTTACAAAGATAAATTCTTAATATCACCATTGTTCTAAGGAAAGATAAAGACAAAATGTGGTTTATATATCAACAGATAAGATTTTGATGACTATGAGGCAGCCAGGGAGAGGTGGGAAAAGGGACAAGGGAGAGATGATGGAGGGGACAGAAAAAAAATGAAGAGTTTAACAGGATATTGTTGTTGACTTCATTTCTTGGCCATATAGATATATGTGAACTCTATTTGGTGGATGAGGGACACAAGGCTGGAGCTTAAAATAGGAAATTCAGTGGTGACTATCTTGGTTCCTGCATTTACCCTTTGATTTCTCATTGCATCCGGTGTGATGCTTTTGGTGTCTGGGATTGTGTATTACTTTCACCTGCTTGGCATCATTAAATGCTTTGAGGATCTCGAGTACTTCTTTTCTGCTGAAAAGACGGCATTCCTTCTAAATTGTCTCTAAAAGCACTAGCTGACTTTGGGAGGATGTAAATTCTAGTCCAGGAAGAATGAACTCACACTTTTTACCTCTTCTTGGGTGCTTTTAAAATTTAATTAAGGTTTTCTGTGTATTGTTGGACTTAGTGGCTATCAGCTTCTACCATGTGTCTGTGAGTCCACCACTTGTCTGCCAATTTGTGGTAGTGGGGTTTGCATGTTGCTCTGTGGCTGGAAGCTGTGTCACTGGTATTTCGAATATCAGCAGGGGCACCCACCAAAGTTAATAGGTTTCAGCAGAGCTTCCAGACTAGTAACAGACTGGGAAGAAGGATTAGGCTGTCTACTCGAGGAATTAGCTACTGAAAACCTTATGTATTTGAGGCCAAAGTATTGCTTGCCAATCTTGGGAGCCATCAGCAGCCTGTCATCTTTCCTACTGACCTTGGGTTATTCATCTGCAGCTTGCCACCTGCTGCCTGACCTACTGGTCTTGGGTTCATAAATCTCTGCAGCTACGTGAGTTAGAAACCTCCAGCCTGACATCTGCCCCACAGACTGGAACTTGCCAGCCTCTCCAAGTGTGTGAGCCATTTCCTTGAAATAAACCCCCCTCTCTTGATGTACATACGTAAGTTTCACTGGCTTTTCTTCTCTAGAAAACAGCCTAAGATACCAGGTTCTCCAAAGCCCACAAAAGTGTGACAGATATGTATTCAGGACTAAGGTTTACAAATGAGTTACAAAGCTGTCACAAACTTTCCACAAGGACTATTTTTCATCATAGAAAATCTGCAAAAGTAAACCGCATACACAAATAGCTTTTCGGGCAGTGGTTCTCAAGCTGTGGGTCGCAACCCCTTTGGGAGTCAAACAGGGGTCGCCTAAGACCATCAGAAAACACACATTTCCGATGGTCTTAGGTACGGAGACAGTGCTCCTCTATCAGTCTTCAGGTGGGTCTGCCCACATGCAGATACGCCCACATACGAGTACCCAGCGTGAAGACTTACCCAAGCTGCACCATGCTTCAAGACAAAATTTCATTTATTTGTCATTAGAAATAAATATTTTACAATATATAATTCCATATTGTTTTGTGATTAACCACTATGCTTTAATTATGTTCAATTTGTAACAATGAAAATTCATCCGGCATAGCAGATATTTACATTATGATTCATAACAGTAGCAAAATTAGTTATGAAGTAGCCACGAAAATAATTTCAGCATGAGGAACTGTATTAAAGGGTCACAGCATTAGGAAGGTTGAGAACCAAGAAGCACTCTTGTTATTCCATTACTGGAATTTTATCACTTGTTTCATGAACTATAACTTTGTCATACAGCAGTTACAAGTCTTTTTCTGAGAACAAAACATCTTTTGTCAGTCTTAAGAAACAGGTTCTGAATGCAGAACAATAGGGATATTGGGGTGGGGAGTTTGGATTTAAATCAAGTGTCAGTTGCCCAGGCATGCCAGGTACCTGGTTTTAAACTTCTTTCACAATGCCAAATGATCTCCCAAGGAAACATCTGACACATTGTGATTCTGAAGAGGGTATCTCAAGAGGATTATCTTGAGAGGGGCCATATTCAGGTAACCCAGAAAAGGTGTTCCCAGGGGTATGGCAGTAGGTGTAATGCCAGATACTGATCCCCACACCAGGAACTTGCCGGCTTTAACAAGTCATTTCCTGAAGGGGTGTGGGGTGTGGGGTGTGGGGTGTGTGGGGTGGTGTGGTGTGTGTGTGTGTGTGTGTGTGTGTGTAAGCTTCACCTCACTGTTTTTGCTTCTCTATACCCAATTGACCCACCATCTTTAATTACCAGAATGTTTTTTACCTTTAGAGATCTGATTAGTACTAAATGTATTAGGTTTTAATTGAAAATTTACACACACACACACGTTTTTAGCTTAAATGGGATGTCTGACATACATGTACTTGATTCAAGAGAAAGACAGTCTGGTATTTAAACTCACTCAAGCCACTTGCGCCTTTCACATAACAAGATCTCTGATGTGGCAGATACGGACTCATATGGCGAAAAGAGTCCTAAAACTGCTAGGGAATGTTTCTAACACATACAAAACTGAGGACTATCAATACGTAAGATTATATGGATTAAAAAACAATCCCAGAAAAATAATACACAAAGAACTGGGGTATACATATCACAAAAGATTTGTAAAATGCCAAAGATATGGAGGGGGGAAAAAAACCCTCAACTTTATTAGTATTCAAAGAAATCAAAATTAAATCATTTTTTTTACTCAAACAAAGCTACTATTAGAGTTACTATTAGAGACTGACAAAACCCATGATCGATGGGGGTAAAAACAAGCAGCAAAATGAATGGATGTGATCCCTGCTAGTGGAATTTCTTCTGTATTTTTTTAGTATTATCACTTTTAAAAAATCAGTGTACAGGTTTATAAACCACAAGATTATTGTCACTTGAATAAAATCATACACACACACATAAATAAAACACTACCACCCCTGCTCCAGTTCAGGAATATATCTCCCCCACCCTTCCTCAATATCATACTGCAATCTGCTCCTAGAACATGAACTGATTCTGTCACTCCCTCGCTTGTCCCTCTGTCAACAGGACAGGGAATGGCTCCTTAACAAAAGGAGCACCAAGGACTCCCAACAGCCGAGTGCCTTTCTTACATCACCTCACACTGTGGGTTCAACCTATGCACGGGGCATGTGACCATGCGTAGCTTTCTGCCTTATTTCTGTGTTCATGAATCTGCCTGGAACAAATGAAACTCTCCCCCCTAGGGGCTTGAAGCATCTACACTACCTTGAGCTTACTGTCATTGTCACTTACCAAAAGATCCTAGAAACTCTGCATATCTCAGTTCCCAGAACATAAGCTGTAGATCAAAGTCTGTCTTACTACCGTTTTGTTATCCGCCTTAGATATAACACAATGATGCCTGCTGTATGAAATGCTTCAAGATCCACTTGCTGGATGCTTAGTTTCATTTTCATTTACTTTTTAAACATTCATTATAGAGGTTAGGGAAAAGATGTTGATTATGCATATGGCATCAAATCAGAACCTGAGTACCCCAACTTATGAAATTTACATCTGTGTAAACCAAAGTTCACTCATGAATCTCAGAACTTGCTTAGGGATTCAAAATAAATTTTAAAATAAATTAGAATTCATCACCAACTACCAGTGTTCTCCTTCTGAAAAGGAAAATACCGTAACTGAAGCCAACATTTCTAAGCAATTCTGAAACACATAGACAGACTGCTTGAGAAGGCAGTGAGTGTCCCTGAAACCTGTGTTACTTCAACAGAAAGGAGGGAAAATGCGGGAGGGAAGGAGAAGCCGTCAGAAAACTTGGACACTATCTGAATGTTAGCAATACAACTTTGGCTTTAGCTTGGGAATGTTGTGATTTGGAGAGATTCACTGGCAAATGACACAGTCAATCTTATCAGAAAATTCAAGACACCCTGCTTCCTATTCCAAGTTTCAACCACAAATGTTCTTAGGCTACAAGTGAAAGAGCTGACAGCAAATTTACAAGGTGGCACAAAGGAGCACTAGAGAGAAAGGCCATTTAGTACTCATAAAAATACTTCCATTTTATCCAGAAAATTAGACATATTTAACATCTTTATTAAATTGATATATTTTACTTATTACAATTTTAAATATAAACTCAAGGATGAAAAATGTATCTATTTTTTCTTTGTTGTGTATTATCATCTATTTCTAACTCATAACTCGTAACTCTGTATGACAGAATGAACTATCCCATATGGTTTTCCAGGCTATAATCTTTACTGGCCCAACAAAGTTAAAATCAGTAGTGAGATACATGGCACTTTCTTGAAGAAAGGTAAAAGAAAGACAAAGTTGTAAATTCTTCTCTAAATTTAAACAAGCAATAAATACTGTTTAGACCAGTGGGTCAACCTGTGGGTCGCAACCCCTTTCACAGGGGTCATCCAATTCATAACAGTAACAAAATTACAGTTATGAAGTAGCAACAAAAATAATGTTATGGTTGGGGGTCACCACCACAGGAGGAACTGTATGAAAGGGTGGCAGCATGAGGAAGGTTGAGGACCACTGGTTTAGACGGTGAAAAAGAGGAAAGCCAACAAGTGATGGGCTGACACAGTGGTTTCAACAATGAGCTAAAATTATCGACTGTGAGGATGATGCAGGGCCAGGCAATGTTTCATGCTATTGTACATAAGGTCACTATGAGTCAGAACTGACTCAATGGCACCTAACAACAACAAATAACAAATGTTGTAGTCTGTCACCAATCCATGTAATTGTTATGCTTTATTTCTGGAGAAAGCAAAACTGTAGGAGTTTACATAGTAAATCACCTCATGAGATCCCCAAGTCCTTCACTGCGAACATTCTCAACAAAAACTACCAGGACCAACCTGTCATCTAATAACCTAAAATACATGAGAGAAAGCTTTATGAGGAAAAACACAAACATTAATCAGATGGGATAATGACTTGTCTCATCAATTTAAAAATGGGAAGAACCGAATTGATCGAAATTTTTTCAAATAGATTGTCATGTCAGACTTCTTCCATAAACATGATTCTAAAATATAAGATTGCCATAGTCCAAATCAACTTCACACTAATAGGTCTTACGGCCATAAGGAAGAAGTGTTAGCCATAGAGATGTTTAAACCATACCTCTAATCCTAGGGCAAGTCAAGAAGCTAAGTCATTTCAAAATGTGCAAAACATAAGATATTCTCTTCAGGTTTCCAACAGAAATTATAAAACGTTATTTAGAAAAAGTTGCAATTCCCTATGATTACTTTTTAGGTAGGCAGTCTTAAATTTCTCTGGATTCTTCTTGTAATTGCTGTGCTAATTTTGAACACCTCACATTTTACTTGGATGAGAGTCAAGGTCAGAGGACGTGAAAGTCAATAATCGCTTACTCAACAGTGCATTGTGTCGTTTCAGATATACTATTATGTCTCCTTGCTTTTCGACAATTTCTTCTAGGTGAGAAATCATCCTGCAAATATCAAGATATAAATGGTTTACACATATTCATCAATGCTCATTAATCTCCTTGCAAATAGGTCCACACTAATTTTCAACACAGTACCCTGTATTTGGTAACACATTCTTAGATATTATGGCCAGAACAATTTTGCCAAATGAAGTTCATTCATAACCCATGTTAATGACTTCCACTTTTAAAACAAATATATTCTATAAATGGCAAATGCATTTTTTTACAAATACATACCCTAATTCTTAAAACAGACCATTACCAGTTTTTTAAGAGCATTCTAAATTGTTACGCTATGTTAACTGAATGTAAATGATCTATTTAAGTAGCATTTTAAATTTAAATTTAAGAAGCATTTTAAAAAGCATCATGCATAGTCTATATTTATTTATTTTTCTATATGAAACAAATTAAACTACCTCAGCAGAGCTGATAACTCCTTCCTAAACACAACTGATAACTCCTTCCTATACCATTCATACAGCCCATTTTGGTTTCATCCCTCAGAAGTAACATTTGTGGATTATTAGTCTTAAAGTTCTTTCCATTAAGGAAAGGCAAGGGCTAATTACAGTAATTATAATGTCAAAAATGTACTAGGTGAAAGTTTAATGTTGGGACTAAACACTGCCTATTCTAAAGTATACTAAATAATGTCCTTCTTGTATATCTACACATGTTGATGTGGAAAATTTTCAAGGTGAAGAATACTATACATAGAATAGTCCTATGTGGAAAACATAAAATAAAATATTTGCATAGTTAATTAATGTAATGGTTACAAGTGTGGGCTCTGGAAACTGACTGCTTGAATTCTGACTGGTTACCCATGGGTTGCACATCCTTATAATCTAAACTATCTGGGCTGTTACTTAGATGTTGCCAAGACTTGAGAATTCCCCACCTCTCTTTGAAGAGCTAGGTTTACTCATTGATAAAAACAGTATGAAGGATTCTTTCCAGTTATCTTGATTGAACTGGGGAGGGGTGAGTGGTAAGACCCACTGTCATGAAGCCGATTGGAACTAAAAACCACCACGTACAGGATTTTCGGAGACTGTAAATCTCCACTGACATTACTGTTAGCAGTCCAATGCCTAACCCACAGCCAGGGCTCCTTCAATTGCTGATCACCTGTTCCCTACCCATGTCCTACCCTCAAGAGCATTCTGTTCATTTCTGAATCCTAATCCCCCTCAAAGACAATGATCATCTCCATAGTTCTGTTTCTCACCATGGGGCCTCTTCTGCCGGTGGTATCATTTATCAGTCCTCCATCTAGACTCCTTAGCCCATGCATTTTAAAATTCACCCATCCACTGATCTTCTGTCTATATTTCAACTTCTCTATTAGTGTGAACAGTGTGGTCTTTTTCTTTAATTCTTTCACTATATTGGTGGGGGTCTTGGAAAGGTGGAGAGAGAAACGTGAGGTTTCATCCACCTTCTTTAAAAGTTGATTCAAATTTTTCAAAGTAAGGCATTTTCAAAGAGGCACTGCACAAAAATCTTAAAATTAAAGGGGAAATATAAAATAAGCATAAATTTTATTGCCCTAATACTAACCTGTGGGATACAGAAAAGATTTCTCCCAAGTTGTCTCCCCCAAATATATGCCAAACCCAGCTGCTTGCATGGTTAATGACTATACACTTAAAGAAAGTAGGTCAGGGGTCATTCTCCCTCAGGGTTATCAGCCATCTAGAGCAAGCAGACACCACTAGTCTGTCCCACCCTAAGTAGGGCCCACTCCCTTCTGATAAGGAGAGTAGCAGATTGTTTCCCTGAAGGAGAACCCAGGGAGGTCTAGCCCACTCAAGGCTAGGCCACCATCATGAATCTAGGGTCCGCCCATCTTGTCACATGTATACCCTTAGTTCCTCCCCTTCCTATTATGTATACACCCCTAGCACATCCCCTTCCTATTACCTTATGCCTATTGTACAACCCCTTCCTGTGACGTATGTCTTTACCTGTAATTAGGAGTCATGCATGCCCCAAGATATATAAGACTGGATTAGCAATAAAGATGCACTCTCCTGCCCTCTCTGCCGTGCTGTGCTTGGACCTGACTGTTGAAATCATGGCCATCTAGGAGGGGAGCTTGCCACCATGAAATGTGTCTGACTTTATAGTGCTCTCTCCCATCTCTCCCATTTCTCTATGACTTTACTATAATCTTTATATATCTTAACCATACAATTGCACCTACTGAACCCATGATTAGTTGTGGGGAGCTGTCTTCGCCCACACTAACCATATTAAGAAAATGTTAAAACTGTTCATTAATAAGAAAACATTATTCAGTAAAATGTTTAGGGCTTGATTGCTTCCTAGGAACAATATGAAATATGAAAAAAATTATAACATCACCTAATTACACACCACAACACTTTATTCAATGTATCACTAACACAAAACCAAACCCACTGCCACAGCTTCGTATCACTAACACAAAACCAAACTCACAGCGACCCCACAGGGTGCGCTAGAATTGCTACTTAGGATTTTCAAGACTATAAATCTTTACAGAAGCTAAGAAGGAGTAACTGAAACTGTAAAGTTTATGTAACTAAGCATAGTCATAAATTCTAAGTATTAGAATGGTTTCTACATTTTGGGGAAATTATCTTTTCCAATGATCTTTTCCCTCTCACCTGTGAGATCTTACCTGAATCCAGTCTCTGAGTTAATACTGCTGGGGTAAGCATAGAGTTTTTCTTCTTCAAGTACATCAGGCCTTGGTTTAGCTTTATTAAACTTTTGAATTTTCACTAAAATAATAAAATCATGATTAGTCAGATGATCTACTGTTTTCAATTATTACACAATATTAATTGATTGTTCCTTTCTAATAAATGTGCATAAAACTACTTTATAAATTAACAGGTTATATCATATTTATTTATTATCTATTACATACCAGGACTTTCCACTAAGCATTAAGATGTAGCAGCCACTGAGGTCAAGGTGAAAAAAGGACAGTGGAGCGTCCCAGGGCAAGTTCGGATGGTGCTTTAAGGAGGGAGTGGGTCAACAGTGTCAACTGTCACTGAAAGACTTTAGAAGATGAGGGCTGAGGACCAAATCTTATATGAACTGTCAGTGAACCGAACACGAGTTTTTTCTAAAATGGTGCCTTCCACAAAATAATTTCTTAATAAATGAGAAACGTGGAGCATATTAATCTCTTAGACACAGAAATGTTTTAAACTGAAAAGTGATAGCAGTTATGCAATATTAAAGTAAAAGTGAAGAGTCAGAAACAAAAGACATACCCATAGTCAGAGAATATAATCCACCTTCAAACCCACCTCTGCAATTTTAAAAATAAATTAAATTGAATGAACTCAGCATTTTTCAGTCCAGGTCAAAAAGTAATGCCAACAGAAACCACATGTAAGAAGAATTTTTTACCATTCTTTCCATCTTAAGACAAGGGAAGTATGTATATGAGTCCATCAAAACACGTAAAGGGAAAGGTAAGGTTGCTCACCATTTACATTCTCATTCATGCTATATTGAAGCTCTCAGAGCCTCAAAACAGCTTTATCGGTTTCTGGAAGGCTGATAACTGATGGCAATGGTTTACTTTTAAATGAGTGGAGAACTAATCAATCACATTATCATGGAATTGGGTTAAATTTTATTTCAAATACCATTTCCCTCTAGAGGCATACATGCAAATAACTGCGGAGTGAGAGTAGTTCATTTTGGCTAGCTCTAGCACGTAAGCACTTACAATGCAAATGGATGTCCAGTTTAAGGTAGAACCACTGTATTAAAGAATCAGGCCCCCAAGGCTAATACGCATTACAAACACTAATTTTCTTTTAAAATCATCTTTTAGTAAAATCAGCCAAGCAAAACTCACTGCCATCAAGTCAATTCCCACTCATAAAGCGACCCTTTTGGACAGAGTAGAATGGCCCTCCCTTTTAGTTACTTAGGCTGTAACTCTCTACAGGAGCAAAGAGATGCATTTTTCTCCCATGGAGTGGCTAATGGGTTCTAACTGCTGACCTTGCAGTTACCAGAGCAATGTGCAACTAACTCTATCATTAGGGCTCCTAATCTTTTTTTTTTATATATAAATTTATTTTTTGTTTATTTTATTTATTTTTTAATCATTTTATTAGGGGCTCATACAACTCATCACAATCCATACATACATCATTTGTGTAAAGCATATTTGTACATTCATTGCCCTCATCATTCTCAAAACATTGCTCTCCACTTAAGCCCCTGGCATCAGGTCCTCTTTTTTCCCCCCCGCCCTCCCTGCTCCCCGCTCCCTTATGAACCCTTGATAATTTATAATTATTTTGTCATATCTTGCCCTGTCCGACATCTCTCTTCAACCACTTTTCTGTTGTCCGTCCCCCAGGGAAGAGATCACATGTAGAACCTTGTAATTAGTTCCCCCTTTCCAACCCACTCTCCCTCTACCCTCCCAGTATCCCCACTCGCACCACTGCTCCTGAAGGGATCATCCGCCCTGGATTCCCTGTGTTTCCAGTTCCTATCTGTACCAGTGTACATCCTCTGGTCTAGCCAGATTTGTAAGGTAGAATTGGGATCATGATAGTGGGGGGAGGAAGCATTTAGGAACTAGAGGAAAGATGTATTTTTCATCGTTGCTACATCACACCCTGTCTGGCTCGTCTCCTCCCCGAGACCCCTCTGCAAGAGGATCTCCAGTGGCCTACTAATGGGCTTTGGGCCTCCACTCCGCACTCCCCCCCCCCTCATTCGCTATGGTAAGATTTTTTTGTTCTGATGATGCCTGAGGAAGTGCTGAAACCCTGGTGGGGACTGAGCATGATAGTGGGACAGGAGGAAAGTGAAGGGAAATAGAGGAAAGAGCCGGGAGGCAAAGGGCATTTATAGAGGTCTAGATAAAGACATGTGCATTTGCAAATATATTTATATATGAGGATGGGGAAATAGATTTATGCATATATTTATAGGTTTAGTATTAAGGTAGCAGACGGACATTGGGCCTCCATTCAAGTACTCCCTCAATGCAAGAATACTTTCTTCTATTAAATTGGCATTCTGATGCTCACCTTCCCGACACAACCGCTGAAGACAAAGCGGGTGAATAAGCAAATGTGGTGAAAAAAGCTAATGGTGCCCGGCTATCAAAAGATATAGCGTCTGGGGTCTTAAAGGTTTGAAGGTTAGCGGCCATCTAGCTCAGAAGCAACAAAGCCCACATGGAAGAAGCACACCGGCCTGTGTGATCACAAGGTGTCGAAGGGATCAGGTATCAGGCATCATCAGGGCTCCTAATCTTTTATTAAAGAGATGGCCAGGGTTTTGGGGGGGAGAGTATGTATCATGTAACTAGGATTAAATTATTTGTGACAATGAAGAAAGCAATTTTTGTTCCTAGAAGTTTCTCCTCTAAATTCGCTTCTGATAGAGCATATGGTACATTTAAAGGTATACCATAAGAAGCAAGCATATAATTCAGAATGTGGAGAATAGTTATGCTTAAACCTTCAAGGGGGAAAACTGTAGAAACCTGCACTAAATTAATTATATTACAAATCTTTCTTATGTAAAACATCTCTTTTGTCAGCATGATTTCCCAGTATCAGGTTCTCTTAAATTAAAACCCAAACTCGAACTTACTGACACCTAGGCAGTTCTGACTGATAGTGAACCTAGAGGGCAGGGTAGCTGGCCCTGTGAGTTTTTGAGACCATAATTCTTTACTGGGATCGAAAGTTTTGTCTTTCTCCAGAGGAGCAGTTGTTGGATTTTGAACTGCTAACTTTGTAGTTAGCAACCAAAGCATAATCCACTACGCCACCAGGGATCCTCAAACTAAACTCACTGCCATTGAGTCCATTCTGCCTCACAGTGATCCCACAGGACAAATTAGAACTGCCCTGTGGGTTTCTGAGACAGTAACTATTTATGGGAATAGAAAGCCTCATCTTTCTCCCACAGGGCAGGTGGTGATTTTGAACTACTGATCTTGCTTTTTAACGGGCCAATGCACAACCCACTAAGCCATTAGGACGCCTCTTCTTAAATTAAGGAGCATAACCATTGCAAATTTAAAAAATATATATTTAAACAGCATATTATTAAAATACATTTAAGAATGTACATAAATTCTCTATGGACTAAAGCAATTCTTTCTAATTTAGGGAGAAAACAATTTAATACAAATGCTATATACTGAAGGAAAATTTGGGGTTTTGGTTCAAATTTGGATGGTATGTAATGAATATCCAACCAAATCCACTGTCACCCCTTAACTGATTCATATCATAGCAATTCTATAAAGGATTTCTGAGGCAGTCAATCTTTACAGTAGCACACAGTCTCTTCTCTCTCCTGAGGTGTGGCTGGTGGGTTTGAACTGCTAACCCTGTAGTAGTATAGAATCCAACACTTACTGGACTGTGCCACCAGAGTTCCTTTAAAAAATACATTCATACTTAAATATAAAAATCATTTCCTCTCAGGATTCTTAGAATATCTGTGCCCCTTACCTTTTTTAATGGTCTCAGGGTTTTTGTCTTTTTATTTCCAGCCAATACCTATCTAGTTTTATACGATGAATTGTAAATGTTAAAGCAATCCTTTAAGAGAACACTAGAGAAAATCCTAGAAAAATAAACCTTGGACTATCTCTACGCAAATAAATGCTCCCTTGCTTACATGACATTCCCAGGATCTTGGGAATACTTGTCACTTCCTTCGGTCAGAATCATGTAAGTATTACAGGAAATACTTTCATAAAGTGAATTCACCTGATACTTCACTGAAAGTTTGAACCCCTTGCCATAAATGTTGTATAAATACTATAAAGTAATATAATTAAAAGCCATGATGGCATAGTAAGCTATGTCCTGAGCTCCTAACCACATAATCATAAGGTCAGTGGTTCAAACCCACTAGCCACTCTGCTGGAGAAAGATGAGGCTCCCATAATGATTTAAAGTCTCAAGAACCCAAAGGATTGGATGGTGGGTTATAGGACACCTAAATTTGAACCACAAAAGAGAATTTCCCTTTAGCATATAATATTCACATTAAATTTTTGTCCTCCTAAATCAGAATTGCTTTAGTTCATAAAGAATTTGTTGTTGAATATTTTATTTGAATAAGATATGCTGCTAAATATTATCTTTTTATATAGGTATAGTCCTATCCTGTCCTATAGGTTGATTAATGGAATGAACTCAATGGCATTGAGTTTGGTTTTTTGAGTTTAACTCCAACTTACAGCAACTGCCAGACACAGTACGTCGTAGGACAGAATGGGTTTCAAGTCATTTGTTTCTGACACATGAATCACATTATTGAAGTTCTAAATAGGTTCTCATATACTAAAAAGTACCATTGTTTAAAAATTAAAGTCTCACTCTTTTTAATAGTTAACTGATGTGCTCTCTTCCTTTTTTTCTTTTGAAACTTCTGCCTAATTTGTTAATTGTAGCTGATAAGTACAGAGTAAAAAAAGTCAATTAATAATGAGTAATGGACATGAAAAAATAACCATAATTTATATTAAATTCTCAAGGGTTCATGAGGGAAGGTGGGGGAGGGTAGGGGAAAAAATGAGGAGCTGATACCAAGGGCTCAAAAAGAAAATGCTTTGAAAATGATGATGGCAACATATGTACAAATGTGCTTGAGACAAGAGATGTATGTATGGATTGTGATAAGAGTTGTATAAGCACCCCAATAAAATGATTTTTAAAAAAAGAATGAGTAATGGGTCATATTTATTCCAAATAAGCAAACTAGTGGGTCCATCCATGTTCTACGTAACTCTTTACTGGCCACAGTGAGCCCCAGAAAATAAGTAAAATGAACTACAAGCTAAGACTCCTAACACTTCTTTAGTAACTAGAAAAATATGCTACTTTGAAAATGGTCATCTGGAGATACGTGACATTTAATGGGCATAAAACAGTGATTAGTTCAATGACACTGAATCAGCTGTTATCATGGAGAGGTTTTATTGCACAGTAATAGTGCAGCAGGTAGGATATGAGAGAGAGAGAGAGAAACATGACTGCTTTTGGGGAAGCAAAATGTTATATTTTTCCTTTGTTTTTAAATAAAAACTTTTCACTTTCGTTGGCAAACATTTGTTGATGACAGAAAATTAGAAATGGAACTCACTGTGGTTTTAATCTGTTGATTTGAAATTAGAAAAGTAAGGAAATGGCTAGCAAGGGAAAGTAGTGGTACTAAGTTCTCAGTTACAAAGGGAAAAAATGCCCAGGTCTATGGGATAATGGGCTCAGCTCCAAACTGAGGGAAAACAAATCTGCTAAGAGGTTTGTGTATACAGAGTTTATAAGGGAAGTTCCATTGTAATTCTCACCTGTGTAAATGAGCAGACATGCCAGGGAGCTTATCAGTTCTAGACCAAGGATGGCCAAAATGAGGTCCAGATATAATGTACTGGGCTCCGGAAAGGAGTGCTGAACGCACAGTATGAGAAGGAGTGCCGTGTTGCCTGACAAAGAAAAGTAGACGTAGTGTCAGCTCGTGCCCAGCACCAACAGGCACAAACACACACCCAGCACTGAGCACTTGCACGGCATGCCACACACATGTGCGTGTGCGCACACACGAACCATTTATACTTAATAGTAAAGAAAACCAAAGGTTAAATACCAACAACTGTTAAGCTTTTGAGGAGGAAAATGTATGTAAGACTTAATGATGCCACACCATCCAAATATCAGCAAATCTGAACTTTCTTAACTACTAAGGATTTAGTTTTCTTTATAGAATTATCAACAATGACATTTCTTTTGGATCCCTTGTGAATTTTAAAAGCAACACAGTTTTTAAAAGTTTCCATGTCCTCAGCTCTTCAAGGTCCACAGGCATTTGAGAATCGTCGTCACCTCGCCTCCCTTAGTCACAGAGCATGCAGCATTGCTAACTTTGAGAAACACTGTTCTAGATAAGGGCTATGTTTGGCCCCCAATTACTCACAATTGACCAGTGTATTAGCATATTGGCAAGATTCATTACAAATTGGCCTTAAAGACTAATCAAACACAATATACCATTTACAATACTGGGGGCAGGGGCACGGTAGATAGCAAGCACAAACATTTGCACACAGGGAAAGAAGTTTTCAGAAGATTCTCGTGTACTGAGTGATGCAGCCAGCACTCGGGGGGAGTCAGGGTTTCACAGAGGTTTCTATGGAGATGAAGCAAACAGTCCAGTGGAAAGAGCACACTGAAAACATTCCCGAAAACACAAATGAAGGTACCTTCTTCGTTCGGGTCAAGATTATTTCACCTCTGGGTTCTTGCAGTATCTCCAACAAAACACTCTGTAGCTCTTAGGTATCAGAAATCTCAGCACCTTCCTCACACTTGTGGCCCTGTCCTGTCCAAGAATCTAGACACCTTTGATGGTGCGGCTGTGCCCAACCACTTCAGCACTATCATTCACCATGACCGCCTCCCATCTCACGTCTTTCTGTCTGTATGCTGGTTTGCTCAGCCTCTCAGAACACAAGAGACATTTCCTACATGACAAGAACATATGGACTGGGACTAGGTGGGCTTTGTTTCTTTTAAAATAAGCTTTATCATCATAAACACAAAGCCTAAATGTTGTTTTATTACATTTGCTATTATAGGCAGAGTCCAGGAGAAACTGTAAATATTTACTATATATTAAAACACATTAATGAAGCAAGTTACTATGGGTTGGGAAGCAGTGATGACAAGAGGTGCACCTGCTCTGAGGCAGGCAGCCTGGGATCCAATGAGGTGCTGTGATCTCTACACTGTTGAAGCACCCAGATGGTCCCTTCCTCTGGCCAGGAGCACCAGGCAGACATCAGTGAGGACTCCAGAGGCATTTCTTCAAGAGCTCTGAGAGCCTCGGGTCTTCCTGAGAAACGGGGAAGTGAAACTCCGGGGTATGGAGGGTATGATCGCTCACGACATGGGTTTCTAGAATTCCCACTTTGGACCTGCTTTTTAAAATTCCTTCCAGAATTTACCTTATGGAGTAAGTTATCCCAAACTTCCCATTGTTCTCAATTCTTGGGTTTACCCCTTCAGGTCAGAGAGAGAAAGTCAGCTTGTCTGGGACCATCAGATAGGTTGAAAATTTCCGCTTTTCAGTGAACAGCTTAGTTTGCAGTTCGGGGTGGTTGTGGGGGACGTGAATAGGTAACTTTCTATGTAAATTATTTTCATTGAATTATTTCATTGAATATCAGAAGAAAAGACCAGCCAGTCTCATTCAAAGTAAAAAAAGAAAAAGAAAAAGAAAATTATCTTTCTAGACCAAAATTTGAGAAGCTGAACAGGATTTTAGTGACAGAGCAAGTATTTCTTCAATAGTTCAAATAGGTTTGCTTTATATGCAGGAGGAAAGGTTATAATGACATCTCCTGGCCACAAGAGAGTACTACACAATTAATGGTTCAACAAACCAAGATGATATCCTTACAACAAAAAAAAACAAAACACACTGCCATTGAGTAGAGGTAGAGCTGGCCCTCTAGGTTTCTGAGACTCAACTCGTTTGGGGAATAGAAAGCCACCTTGTTTTCCCCGTGGAGTGGCTAGTCATTTTGGACTGCTGACCTTGGGTTAACAGTCCAACACATGACCCATGATACCACCAGGCCCCTCTAGTTTATCCTTCCTTGGCTAGGCAGAAAGTCCTAACTGCCTCCTCCAAGACAAGTTACAATCACCCATCTCTATGAAACAGCTTGGCCTCAGATGGACTCTGGGCTCCCACTTAACTCGAGCCCCCCAAAGTCAGTCCTTAGAACACAGCTCTGCTGGATACTTGCCTTACTTGTAAAGATCACTGAAGACAAAGGCGCTACAGAAAAGTGTGATATAGAAAACAGATGGTGCTTAGCTTTCACAATTGGAATAGTATCTGGGGCCTTAAAGGCTTGTATTCAAACAAGTAGCCATCTTAGTGAGAAGTCAACTAAGTCCACATGGAAGAAGCACAATTTGTGAGCACCCAATTTGTAGAAAGCTATTTGGGGCAGTGGGAGCCCCAAATCCATCTGCAGAGAATTAGTCAGATTAAGCCTCTGACAGAACCCCTCTAGCCACAGGCAAAGGACTCAAACAACTTTCACTACCAGAGATCATTGAGCCATGGCATAATATGATCTTGGTCAGGTGACCTCCCTCTTAATCCAACCTTAATTTGCTATAGGCTCAAACATCTCTCATTTGTTCCACAACAGAAATTTCTTCTCTGGCTTTTTAAATATTGTTGGTGGTCTTTTCTTTCTTACTCTTTATTTTTATTTCCATTTTATATTATTATTCTTTTCTGTTTCATTTTGTTTTTTATTGTTTCTGTTAGGTTTCCCAGTTTAAGAAGCACAGAAGGAGTGAAAGCATAGACAATAACTGATGCAATGGTTTATGCAGGGGTCCTCAAACTTTTTAAACACGGGGCCAGTTCAATGTCCCTCAGACCCGTTGGAGGGCGGGACTATAGTTTAAAAAGAAAACTAGGGCCTAATGCTGGGGGCTTGGGTGGAGAGGAAATGTTTTGAGAATGATGAGGGCAATGAATGTACAAACGTGCTTTGCACAATTGATGTATGTGTGGATTGTGATGAGAGTTGTATGAGCCCCTAATAAAACGAATGAAATAAAAGAAAACTATGAACAAATTCCTATGCACACTGCACACATCTTATTTTGAAGTAAAAAACAAATGGGGCAAAAACACCCAGCGCGCTGCATGTGGCCCGCGGGCCATAGTTTGAGGACACCTGGTTTATAGGGTAGGATGAAGGGAACTGGGGAACAAAGAATGAACGCAGGAGTGGGGACAGAGCACAAGAACTGGTTGTGGTGGTGTACACACAAGTCTTTCTAAAAGCAATTTAGCGATAGAAGTAAATGTGAATAATATATCAAGAAAACTACTGGGGGGAAAAAAGAAACCAAACTTGACCATGGGTAAAGGAGGAACAGTTTTTGCTTAGGGGGGATTTAGTTTATGTTAATGGTAGTGGGATAACTTGGAAAAGGATATTAATAAAGTTGTACAACATAAAGAGTACAGTCAATGGCACTGAATTTTATACATGTAGAAGTTATTAAATCAGAGAATGTTTTGTTGAGTATATTTTTGCCACAATTAAAAACTAATTACACAAATAACAGTGAGTACAAGGAAGGTGTTCTAAAATTGACTGAGGTGGTGATTGTACAACTCTTCTTAATATCACTGTTATAAAGTTGAACTATTGAATTGTATGATATAAGGATGAATTGCCAATACAACTGTTTAAAAAAAAAATAGCGTGGCCCTGCTTCTCTATGCAATAGCAACACCCTTTAGCATTACTAAGCACTCCAATAAGAGAATGTAAAGAAAATATATACAGAATGGAGAAGACACTTTTTCAATTCAGTAGAGCTATATTTTTCTAACCTGGATCCTAGATTTTTAAAGACTCATTCTGGACTCAAAGGGAGGCACTTTGACACCAACAACATGATAGCTCAAGGAGTTCACCAACATCTCATTGAGCCTTTACCGTGTCAGGCCAGCAACAAAACAAGAGAGCAGGCATTCACACACGGTAAGTCCTGCTTGGCCCTTCCAATCTTACCTTTTCAAATTATGACCAGTATTTTTTTCAAGTTTCACCTTTTGGATAATGTATCTTACTACAGAATAGTCCCCCCTTTTTCTAGGGACTTGCCTGCAATTAAACTTTGCACAAAACTTTTCACCATAATCCTCTACTGCAAAAGGTAGCAGTCAATTTCATTTTTTTAAAAAATTCCTTTTTCTTATCCCTGGAAATATCACACTGCAACGGTATTTATAGCTTTCATCGAGATGAGTAAAACAGCTGATGTCAGAAAAGCAAAAACTTCTATATTTCACTCATTTTTATACCATGTTTATAACAAGACTTAAGATGAAAAATTAAGGCTGCACATATTCTATGACACTTACAAAAGCACAAAACAGTTGCTACTGAGTTGATTCTGACTCCTGGAGACCCCAGGTGTTTCAGAGCAGAACTTTCCCACTGGGTTTTCAATGGCTGTGGCTTCTCAGAAGTAGATATCAAGCCTTTCTTCTAAGGAAGCTCACAGTGGATTTAAACTGCCAATCTTCAGGTCAGGAGCCAAGCACTTAACCGTTAGCACCACCCAGGAGCCCCTCCCTTCAAGACACACGTTGATACAATTTTCTATGATCACATTATTCTCACAGCAATGACAGAATCAATTTAATTATAAAATCAACTGGCACATTTTTTGTGTGCTGTCATTGTTGCCACGCAAAGCTAAAGAAGACAAGGCAGTTCACCTGCGGAGTGCACCATTAGTGCCAGTCGTTTAAGATGCCTTGTGGAGCGGTAGATCATGTGATAGCCTCGCCTTCTGGCTTTGCTGTGGTGATACTGTATGTAGCGCTCAAGGACTATATGCAGAATCCACAAAATCACTTTTCCAAGGATTATGACTGTCTGAACTTTCAATGGCTTGATGTAGTTTCCTGGACACTTGTCCTCATGTGGATTGGGGTAAGAACAAAACACTCCTGTTAAAAATGCTAAAACGACAAACACAACCTGTAAAAGAAAAGCAGTAAGATTAAAACTCAGTATTTGGACTTAGAAATAATCACTGCCATCCCAGAATCTCCTCTCCTATTTTTAACTCTATTCAGTTCTTACAAATAAATATACAACCACTTATCTGTCACTATTTCTATGAACTTTTCCTAGCCAAATATAAAAGTTTACATGAATTTTGGAAAACAGAGAAAACTACAGGTGGTGAAAAGAAATCACCTGTACCTCTTACATAAGAGATAAGCACTTAAGTGTTACATGTAATTTCTTATCCACTTGTCTTTTATTAAAAAGAGTACAAAGGTTTATTTAGTATCTTTTTTTTTTTAACATTTTATTAGGGGCTCATACAACTGTTATCCCAATCCATACACACATCAATTGTGTAAAGCACATTTGTACATCGTTTCTCAAAACATTTTCTCTCCATTTAAACCCCCGACATTAGGTCCTCATTTTTCCCCTCCCTCCCCGCTCCCCCCTCCCGCATGTGCCCTTGTATTTAGTATCTCAAAGGTAACAAAGATTATGGTTTAAAAACATATACATATTTTTCATTTTAAATGAATAGCTTTAAGAGAATACTACAACCAGTTTGACAACATGTGAAACATTGGTGCCAGAATAGAGGCACTCTCATATACTCATGCCTGGACTGGGAAATGCCTTAGGAAAATAAGGTGGAAAAAATTTTGGAAAACAATGCTGACCCAGAAATCCTACTTCAAGAGCTCTCGTCATCAGCAGGAAAGCCACAGGAAGATATATGGATTCAAGCATTTACTATATATCTTTATACTTGCAAAACACTAACAAACAGCCCAAGTGTATGTGTCTGTCCATAGTAGCATACCTGGATAAATCATGGCACATTTAGTTGTGTTATAAGATGCTAGGTAGCAACAAAAAGGATTGTGTATTGGTCCAGATGGGTGTCTATGACACACTGAAACTGAGTGGCAGAGCGGTGGCTCTCAGGGGTACCTATCAGACTAAAAGCATAAGCATATCAGGGGTACCTATCAGACTAAAAGCATAAGCATATCAGGGGTACCTATCAGACTAAAAGCATCACCTAGGAACCTGGTAAGAATTCAAATCCTTAAGCTCCACTCCAGAGGAAGGCCCCAGCAATGTGTATTTAACAAGGCTGTCTAGCGAATCTGATGTCTTCTAAAGTTTTGAGAACCACTGCTATGGAGTAATATGATATCATCTCATTTTTAATAAAAAAATTTTAATAAAAAACTTTAAATAAATAAATGAAGGAAACTTCTTCATTTTATGTGTCCTAATCTCTGTAGGTAAATTTATATAAACCTAATGAAAAGCCAAGAAGATATAGCAAATTAATCCCATTAATTGACTCAGGGACAAAGGCTACAGAAGAGAAAAGCTAGGATTATAATTTTATCTTTGTACACTTTTGTAATATTTTGTCATAAAGAAGAAGTGTTATTTATAGAAGGGAAATGCTATTTTATAACTTTGTTTAAAAAATCAAATGAAAAATTTGAAAGCTAGCATTAGCATTCACTGATAGAGCTGTGGTTGGTAGTTTCAAACTGCTGACCTTACAGTTAGCAGTCCAATGTATAACTGCTATGCCACCGTGGCTCCTTATGCAGATGTTGATAACAATAGATATACTGTCCTCTGTAGAACTTGTAGATATTTGGGGGACATCACTTTATGCACAGGCACTTACATGTATTAAAAAGAGAAAATTTGTTATGATGACCGTAGGCAGCGGCTGGAATCTCGATCTAAAATGAGCGTGCAATGAGTGATGTGGAAGAAGGTGGGCATCCAAAAGGGGATCATCTTCAATACTTTGGGTAAGATCCAAGGAACCCTGCAGAAAACAAGCAAATTATAATCACCGCTTCTGGGTTATGTTTCTAAACAAGTCAACTAAATTGTAAAACTTAAGAAAACGTCACACAAATTAAAGGCAAGAACAATTTCTTTAAAAATAGTGTACCCTCCACCTCTGCATAATTCTATTGTGTACAACCTGGTAAAGTAAGATTTAAAACAAATGGAAGGCATATTATTTCAACTGAGGCAATTCCACATGCCACAAATGAGGCAATTCATAAGCTAAAACTAAAGAATTTTCTTTAAGTCTTCCACTTAGATATTGACTTATTTTAAATGATTCTTATTTTTCATGAAATGATTACATATGTTAAGTACCACAGAATGTTGGAAAGGCGATGGCGGCGTCATTAAACATGCCTAGAAGAAACTTTCAGCTACGACAGTAGTATTTTAGAATACTCGTGGGCAATGTATATACAAATGTGCTTTACACAATTGATGTATGTATGGATTGTGATAGAGTTGTATGAGCCCCTAATAAAACGATTAAAAATAAATAAATAATACTAGTAACAACAGACTATGCTGATGAATCCTCAGTGAGTGTTTATAGATGTGATGCTCAATGACAACAACTTCAGTTGATCCCTGAACAACTTATGGAGGAAGGGGTGCTACCTCCCAAACATTAAAAATCGTACCCCCACTTAAGGGGATGAATAATAGAAATGTGGGTGAAGAGAAACAGCAAACAGTATATAATATGAATAGTTTTTTTAATTTACCAAGGGTTGTAGGAGAAGAGGAGCTGATACCAAGGGCTCAAGTAGAAAGAAAAGGCTTTGAAAATGACGATGACAACATCTGTACAAATGCACTTTGTACAATTGATAAATATATTGTTATAAGAGCTGTAAAACCCCCAATAAAAGATTTATAAAAATTCCATGTCTAACTTACAGTTGGCACTTAATCAACATAGACCTGAGCTGTGTGGGCACAGGCCTACTTACCGGTGTTAATAAGCTGTTCATACAGATTGTTAACATCACACAGCGGTTTAGGCTGATATTTGCAACAACTGAGCTCCCCGCCACAGCAACAGGAGGAGAAATTGTGTGTAAGTGCAGTTCAAGTCTGAGTGGTTCAAGGGTCAACTGCAGTTGTAGTTTCAATGTAATGGCAAGCAAAACTTGAATAGTGTGAGCTGTAAAAATCAATTTCGATTCATGGTGACCCTACATGACAGAGTAGAATGAACCCTTTGGGTTTCCGGGACTATAAACCTTTATGAGCGTAGAAAGCCTCATCTTTCTTGCAAAGGGGGTTTCAAACAGCTGACTTTGTGATTAGCATCCCAGAGTATAACTCACTACGCCACCTGCATCTTGTTTAAAGGTACTGTTGTCTTGACCGGAACACAATTTTCACATCCCTGCTGCATCTCTCAATCATGGACCTTTACTGAATATTACCATACATAAAAGGTGCCCTGGTGGTACAATGGTTAAAATTATTTGCCTGCTAGTCAGGTCAGCAATTCGAACCCACTAGCCACTCCAGAGAAGTGTGATGTGTCCCCATAAAGATTACAGCCTGGGAAGCCCTACAGAGTAACTCCATGTTGTTGTCCCTGACTATACAGCACACAACAGCAGTAACACTATGCATAAAGTTGCAGAGAAAGTAAGTTGCAATCCCTGTCCAGAAAGAAAGGACATTCTCATGGAGGAGGTGAGAGAGAAAGGCGTAAGGGACTCAACACGACTATCCAATAAAATAGGATGCACAGGCAAATAAGAGAGGTACAAAATAAATCTGCAAATGAATAGATCTGGGCTGAGTTCCTCAATTTTGAACTTCAGCAATCAGCGCCACTCTGCAACGCTTCTTACTCCCCAACCAAGCCAAGGGCGGTGGAGTTGACTACAACTCAGAGGAGAGCAGAACTGGTCCTCAACGTTTTCCAGGCTGTGACCTTGACAGGACATTACCAGGTCTTGCAGGGCCTTTCTCCGCCCGTTTCAAACAGTAAACCTTTTGATTAATAGTCAGACACTTAAACACTTGTGCCACCCAGTGACTCCAAAGCCTAATTTCCCAATTTGTCTTCCTTCTTACACCACAGTCCAATCCAAAAAAACCAAACTCAACTGCCATAAAACCGATGCAGATTCACATGCCCCTACAGGACAGGGCAGAAATGCCCTTGTGGGTTTCCATAACTCTTTACAGGAGTAGAAAGTCTCTGGTGGTTTAGCACTGTTGACCTTGCAGTTGACAGCCCAACATGTAACCACTACACTACCAGGGCTCCTCTTCACCATGGGACTATTGATTCTTTCTCTTCTCAAGACTCTTCTATCTCAATCTAATGCTAGCAAATGTGCCAGCTTCTGCAGCCCTTTCTTTAGCATGTCATCCATTCCAGCTGGTCTTCCTGGACACTCCAGGTCTGGATCATGCCCACAGAAGCGGGCAGTCCAGGTAGAGAGAAGGTAGATGCATATCTAAAGCTTTCTGTGCTCACCTCTTCTATCATACTACCTTCAGGTGGCTTTCTTACTAGGGGAATCAATATTGGGCTTCCCCAGTAGACTTTATTATTAGGCCACTAACCCCACCACCTGTTCTTTGTAACCCTAACACCCAACAGTATCACACAGTCAGCAGGTGGTGAACATTTCTTGAAAGAATGTCACAAATCTATTCTCCCCAATGTTCCCTAAATCAGTGATGAGTATTGCCTAAAAGTTGAGCTAAAATCTGAGATTCCACTCCACTAAGACGCAGCAAACACCATAGTTAAGGGCTGGCCACTTCAAAAGCAAATCGCCTGGATTCAAAGATGATTTATACAAATAACTCATATATTCGTGCCTCCAATTCATTTTTTAAGAGAAATTATAATAGCACCTGCTGCAAAGCTTTGTTGGGAAGAATAAAGGAATTTATCATAATACTATAGATTGTGAAAGGGCAAACTAATTGGGAAATTTAGGCATTGAATAAAATGAGTTGCAGAGCAGAACCAAATACCATTTTAGGAACTAACCCACCCTCTCCAAATCTGGATCAAATTTGTAATTCTAGTGCTTAGAATAATGCTTGCAAATAAGAAACCCATAAATCCTGGCCACTACTATCTCTACCTCCTGCTTTCTCTGACCTTCCACATAAAAGGAATAACCACTCTAACTCTTTTTTTTTTTTTAATCATTTTATTAGGGGGTCATACAACTCTTATCACAATCCATACACACATCAATTGTGTAAAGCACATTTGTACATTCATTGCCATCATCATTCTCAAAACATTTTCTCTCCACTTAAACCCCCGGCATTAGGTCCTCATTTTTCCCCTCCCTCCCCGCTCCCCCCCACTCTAACTCTTAAACCTGTCCTTTACTTTCTGTTTTTAGTTTCGGCTTTCATCATTTCTCATGTTCTCTGGCCTCCTGGTCTCCTAAAACAAACATTTTTCTCCTCATAAACCTGAAGCACTTCTCCATTATGCCAGGACAAAGCTCAAATTCTTAGCCTGGCTATCTGCTTTACAATCCATTTCCAAGATACTTTACAAGATTGGCCTCTCACCCTTCTGACTGCCAAACTGGGAATGCTGCTCATTCTTCTCTCTTACAATGCTTCCCCAGCCTAGCCTCTCAGCAAGACTGCATCTTCCTAGCATCCCCCACCCCACCCTCCAACACTGTTCCTCCTGAACCTTTTATCCTGTGTTAATTTTAGTTTTCACTGCTGCATGTTTGACATTGGTCTATTTTATACATTCCATGTCCCTAACTTTTTGTATATACAGTAAAATAACAATAATTCTTCATATTCTTGGGGTGTAGTTGAACTACCTGAAAAGAGTTTGATCCTTTTGGTCTGGCTCTTAAGACTTAAAAGGTAAGACCAAAGTCACAGTTACTCCCACTACTGATGTAAGACCTCATGAGGTTGGTGGCACAGGCTACTAAGCCTGGTTCTGTGTGGGCACTCAATACTGTTCCCCTTAACTGTTCCAGGTGGTTCTTCTCCAGGCTTGGGAGAGTTTGCTCAAATGCACAGACCCTGATCTATGCTAAGTAGTTTTGGGGAACTTGGCAAATCTGCAGTTATCCCTCATTGCAGCTCACCTGTGATCGTAGGGCTCCTTTTTCCTCTCTGCATCACTACCTGATGTCCAACAGATTTACACCCTCTTTGTCATGTGTTTTTTCATGTTTCTTCAAACTCCATCTTGAAGTATTAAGAGTGGAAGTCCCTCTGTTAGCTCTCTAAAGTAATTTTGCAATACTAAGCCAAAGTGCATTTTTTCTACCTGAGAATTCCTACGAAATGTAACACAACCTGTTGCCATCAAGTTGAATCCAACTCATTGTGACCACGTGTGTCAGAATAGAACAGGACTCTGCTTAATTTTCAATGGCTGAGTTTTCTAAAGCAAATCCCAAAGCTTTTCTTTCTAAGAGTCCATGAGTGGTCTCCAAACGCCCAACTTTTCAGTTAGTGACCAAGTCTATTAACCATATGCACCTCCCAAGCATCCTATAAAATGTTATACACTGTCATCCAGTCAATACTGACTCAAAGCAACCCAATATAGGGTTTCTAAGGCTCTGTATATCCTTTCAAGAAGCAGCCCAACTCATCTTTCTCCTGCAGGGTTCGAACTTCCAAACTTTCGTTAGTAATCAAGGCACACAGGCACGGCCCTGTCATGCTCCTTAATTCTAGGGCACACAGCTGAAAACAAAACCCTCCTAATTTAGTTATCTTAAGCTACCGGGGTTTGGTCCCTCAAAGATCTTGTATAAGATTCCACCTTATACTCCTTCAAAAACATTTCTTCCTTCCAGCCTAATTGATTCTGGGCACAAACGCAGGTACCAAAAACCAATACCATTAAGTCATTAAGACTCAGCGACCTTATATAGGGGTTGAATGAAGGTTGTTAATATTTACGGCAGCAGACAGGTTCTGCTTTCTCCGGAGAAGCTGTCGGTGGGTTCCAGCTGCTGATCTTGCAATTGTCGTAAGATAGTTAGCAAAGAAAAAAAGTTTCCTACAATTGTGCTTTGATCCTGTACAAGCACGGTAAACAGAGCCACTGTGTTTTTCAGTCGTCTGGTCTGGAGCCTCCTAAATAAAGATTTTTGTGATATTCCCAATCCTACCATACCTAAATTAAAAAACAGCACTTGGCGAGTTTTTCTTTCATGTGAGCCAAGATGAGAGTCATAGGGCTCCGCGGGGGCCCCCAGGTGCCAACTCAGCTCCAGTTCTCGGGGGCCGGGCTGGGGGCAGGCAGCGCGGGAGACCTGGCCGGCGGCTTCCCCAGGTCTCCCGCGCGGCTCGGAGGCTCCGCCCCCCGGGCGCGCCCCCGGAGGCGCCGTCCGGTCACACGCACGTCACGTGAAGCGCCCGGCTCCGGGAACACGCACGCGCGCCACAGGTGCGCTGGGCACAACCCAGGGTCGGGCTACAGGTTAGCGCGCGCACAGACCGAGCTTCCGCGCAGGAGCAGCCCAGAGTCGGCGCGAACGGCGCCGCGGTCCCCGGTCGCCGGCCGTCTTCTCCCCGTACCCGGGCGCGGGCCCGGCTCACGGTGCACGGCGCCCCGCCCCGCCGCACAGGAAGGGGATTCCCGGGGGCAACCACCGCCACTTCCGTGCACTCACGTCCTCCATCCTGCCGGGTTCAGTCGTCCCCGATGCCGGAGACCGGAATCCCGGCCCGTGGGGCCTCTTCACCCGCGCCGGGCGCAGCCGCGAGAATAAAAACGCCACCTTCGGGGACCTGTGGCCCCTCCTCCAGACACACCCCCGGCACCGCCCCGTCTTTTGCCCCGCCCCTCGCTCCCGATTGGGCGACGTAGAGGAAGGGGCGTGCTCTGTCGTGACCTGAAGCCGTGGGGTAGTAGGCGGAGCCAATGCTGGTGTGTTTTAAAATGTTGCTGTTTTTTATTTTCTTCGTCTTACTTTTACTTATGCATGGGTCGAGCCAGCAGGTGAATCCTGCTCCACTCGCTGCCATCACTGCCATGCTTCGAGTCAGTGCTGACTGTCCTTGTGGGCTTTCGAGACGGAGCAGTTTGCAGCAGTAGAAAGCCCCATCTTTCTCCCGAGAGGCTGTTTCCAGCTGCAGACCTGGGGATCATAGGCACATGTGAGAAGAATGAAAACGGCATCATCATAAAAAACTATTCAAATGTATATAGATATCCATAATAATATTTAAATGATTTTCAAATAAATTTAGATCAACGTAGCCTTGTAATGAAGTGATGAGGGTTTCACTTTTATTTTTCTCCAAGATTGAAGGATTTTTGACCAAGATTTTTGGATCAAACACATAGTGAGGAGTAAGGAGTGAAATGGCCCATCTGTTTTACTACCAAACAGTTCCCCAAGAGAAGTCCCCACTTTGAGCCTCAATCTTTTTTCTGCAAGTGCTACTGTCAGCACTGTTCTCTGCACAGTGATTGAGTTCTGATCACAGATAGTAAAATGTTATAACATGGCACTGATTTTTCCCAACATCAAAATAAAATGTCCTTAATCCATTGGCACTTGCATTGTTTTAGCCTACAATACCTAGTGTCATATGTTGTTCAGCCATCATTTGCTTAATTCAGTGCCCTAGTGGCATAGTGTCTTCACATTGGGCTGTTTCCCACAAGTTGAGCAGTTCAAAACCATCAGTTGCTCCTTGGAAGAAGCTTTCTGCATAGAGTTACAGTATTGGAAACCCACAGGGACCGTTCTACCCTGTCCTATAGAGCCGCTATGTGCCAGAATCAACCCATGGCAGTTAGTTTGGTTTTTAGTTTTTTAATTTCTTATTATTTTAAAGAGAGATTTCTTTACATATAAAATATGTAAGATGAAGTTTCTTTGCCTATAAGAAGCACTCTGGCCTTACTTATTCCAACACAGATTTGCTTGTCCTTTTAACAATCCGTGGTACGTTTAATATTCTTCTCCAGCACCGCAATTCAAAAGCATCAATTCCTCTTCCATCATCTTTATTCAATATCCAACTTTCACATGTGTATGAGGCAATAAAAAATGCCATGGCTTGGATCAGGAACACCTTATTCCTCAAAGAAGCATCCTTGCTTTTCACTATTCTAAAGAGGTCATGGACAGCAGATTTACCAAACATCTTTTGATTTTTTTGACTACTGCTTCCACGAGCATTGTTTGTGGATCCAAACAATGGATCCACAAACAAAAATCGTTTACAACTTCAAGCTTTTCTCCATTTATCATGATGTTACCTATGGGTCCAGTTTTGAGGATTTTAGTCTTCTTTTGTTTTGTTTTGTTTTTAAATTTTATTGGGAGCTCATACAACTCTTATCACACTCCATGCATACATTATGGTACCTTTTAAAAAATAATTAAATAATTTTATTGGGGGCTTGTACAACTCTTATCACAATCCACACATACATCTATTGTGTCAAGGACTTTTGTACATTTGTTTCCCTCATCCTCAAAACATTTGCTTTCTACTTGAACCCTTGGTATCAGCTCCTCATTTTTTCCCCTTGCACCCCGCTCCCCCATCACCCATGAACCCTTGATAATTTATAAATTATTATTATTTTGTCATATCTTACACTATGCAACATCTCCCTTCACCCACTTTTCTGTTGTCCATCCCCCAGGGAGGAGGTTATACATAGATCCTTGTAATCAGTTCCCCCTTTCCACCCCACCCTCACTCCATCTTCCTGGTATCGCCACTCTCACCACTGGTCCTGTGTTTCCGTTTCCAGGGATCATCCATCCTGTGTTTCCAATTCCTATCTGTACCAGTGTACATCCTCTGGTCTAGCCAGATTTGTAAGGTAGAATTGGGATCATGATAGTTGGGTGGGGGGGGGAGGGAGAAAGCATTTAGGAACTAGAGGAAAGTTGTATGTTTCATCATTGCTACATCGGACCCTGACTGGCTCGTCTCCTCCCCACCACCCTTCTGTAAGAGGATGTCCAATTGCCTACATATGGGCTTTGGGTCTCCACTCCGCACTCCCCCTTATTCACAATGATATGATTTTTTGTTCTGGTGATGCCTGATACCTGATCCCTTCAACACCTCGTGATCGCACAAGCTGTTGTGTTTCTTCCATGGGGCTTTGTTGCTTCTGAGCTACATGGCCACTTGTTTACCTTCAAGCCTTTAAGACCCCAGATGCTATATCTTTTGATAGCCAGGCACCATCAGCTTTCTTCACCACCTTTGCTTATGCACCTGCCTTGTTTTCTGCAATTGTGTTGGGAAGGTGAGCATCATGGAATGCCAGTTTAATAGAACAAACTATTCTTGCATTGAGGGAGTACTTGAGTAGAGGCCCAATGTCCATCTACTACCTTAATACTAAACCTATAAATATATGTACAAAGATCTATTTCCACATCCTCATATATAAATATATTTGATATGTACATGCCTGTATTTAGATCTCTATAAATGCCCTTTGCCTCCTAGCTCTTTCCTCTATTTCCTTTGACTTTCCTCTTGTCCCACTATTATGTTCAGCCTTCATTTGGGTTACAGTAATTCCTCTCGTTTAAATTACCCTTGGTCATGCCCTACCAGGCCTCCTGCACCCTCCTCACCACCAATTTGGATCACTTGTTGTTCCTTTGTCACTGGGTTTGTTAACACCTCTTCCTTTCCCCCAACCTCCCCCTCTCCCATGTCCCCCTGGAACTGTCATTCCTGTTGTTTTCTCCTCCAGATTGTTCATCCAGCCTATTATTTAGACAGACCTGTGGAGATAATAACATGCACAAAAACAAGACAGAGTAAAAATAAAACAAAACAACAAGAAAGAAAAGCTTGTAGTTAGTTCAAGGACTGTTTGTTGGCCTTTAGGAGTGTTTTCCGTTCGAGTCTGATGGGGCGCCAAGCCCTGGCCTCATAGTCTATTTTTTGTATTCCCTGGGGATTTCTTTGCTCTGTTCCCCTTGCTGTTCTGTTTCACACCCTTAGTGTTTTGCCTCGGTGTGGTAGGATCAGATCAGGTGTTTCCTGCAGTTCTTGAATGCTTTCTCTCCCCGCCCCTCATTATCATGATCCCCACTTCTACCTTACAAATCCGGCTGGACCAGAGAATGTACACTGGTACAGATAGGAACTGGAAACACAGGGAATCCAGGACAGATAAACCCCTCAGGACCAGTTGTGAGAGTGGCAATATGGGGAGGGTGGAGGGGAGGGGAAGGAGAAAGGGGGAACTGATTACAAGGATTTAAGTCTTCTTGACATTGAATTGTAATCCATGCAGAAGGCTGCAACCCTTGCTCTTCATCAGCAACTGCTTCACGTCCTCCTCATTTTCAGCAAACAAGGTTGTGTCATCTGCCAAAAAGTCTCATCTGTCTACCATGGTGGAGCCTGTGGGTTTGAACTGTTTTTCATGTGGGGTTAGCAGCCCAATATGTAATCCACTCTACCACCCACCAGGGATCCTAACCTCATGAAGGCAGGTCGGCTGATGCCCAAAAATGGCCACACTTGAGCTAAGCAAACATTCCCAGTCTGATTTCTCCTTTCTCCTTCTCACAAGGAATAATAATCAGGTGCATTTCCTTTCAGTAATCCAACAAATAGTTTCAGACACCTAATGTCATAGTGCAAAAAGTTTCAGTAACCCACATCGGGCAGAATTGCTTACTATCTGGTATTTCAAAAGCACCAACAGCTATTACCCCCTAGCAAATCCGTTCCTAGCCAGCCTGCCATCACTGGATACAGCACTGTTTGCTTGGCCTGTAAATTCCTAATGCAAATAAATATCTCTCAGATTCATTCCACCCAAACAATTTTCAAGGTGGCCAGGAAACTGAAAAAGCCCCTGAGCCTCAGAGGTGGGATGAGGGGATGGGACTCAGCTGGGGAAATTCCAGGATGGCCAGGGGCTGCCATGTTTGGTCGCAAAGCACAGCTGAGGGGTCTGTCTGGAAACTGTCTGCAATGGCAACAAAGACAGCACGTTCCCTAGAGTTTTTGTCCAAACTGTGGGAGAGTGCAAAAACAAGGTACAGTTCTGTGAACAAATAACTGTGTTGTCTAGAAACCACCTAGGGAGCCTCAGTGACAGTGCGCATAACCCAAACAACTGGGTTAAAGACTTCACCAAGCCACAGTCAGAGCGTAGCAGATAAGTATCCTGACAAAGTGGCATGTGCACTTGCAGCAGAGAAGCACCCTGTTAACTAGTCCCCTGAACTTGATCTTGAGTGTTGAGCTACACTAGATCCTTAGGCCAGTAACCAAGTTGACAGACAATCCACAAAGGGCAGAACTGCCCATGCCGTAATGCCTCCTACTCGATGGCAAAGGATCCAAACCTGAGAAAGCCTGGTACACAGATACCTCTGCCCAAAGGCAACCCTCGCTGGTGGAGAGCAAAGGCTTTCTAACCAGCTACATTGGACAAATGATGGGGAGGGGTGGAGCAGCCAAAATGCAAGGCTTAATGCTGCTGGATGGCCTTGAGCATGAAATGAACCCAGCCCTATAGCCCCACAATACATGAGTAGGTGGATGTTATATAAAGAACCCATACTGTGCTTAGCATGATGAAAAGAACAGGCCTGGCTTGTGGGTCAGCGGGTACTGTAGGAGGGAGATTTCTTGAAAGACATCTGGATATTTTCACATTCCATGTACCATCACATAACCCACACACTCCAGCAGGAAATGCCCAGACAGGTGACCTAGCCCACTGAGCACTGAACAGCAGGCATTCATCTGACAGGTGGCAGAGTAACTCTACCAAAGATAGTAGACACTTTGGCCAAAAAGATAGAACTGTCTCTCTCAATGAAACAAATTACAAGTATAGCGGGGATTGCCCCAGCTGTCCACTGGAGAAGTAAAGGCCTGTCTTCTGTCAACTAGGCAAAATACCAAGTGTAGACCCCAGCACCAAAGAGTGGCAAGTACATTCTATAGGACCCTTCCCCATGACTGACAGACGCCACTAAAAGCCTGCCACTGGCCTAGTACATGTCTATTCATGCAAG